AGGGGGGAGCCCAAAAAGGGGCCCAACCCGGGGGGGGGGGGGGAATAGAGGCCAAAGAGCAATTTGCCTTGCCCAGCAAGAAATCCCCCCCCCCCAATACTGTAAGTAAGCAGAAAAGGTCATTTATTTTTGTTTCCCCTTCTTCTTCTTAGAGTTTGATTTGGGGGGTGGGGATGGGGAGAAATTCCTGCACACCTGAAGACAGAATAGAATTATAAAGCTGGAAGGGACCTCCAGGGTCATCCAGTCAAACCCCCCTTACAATGCAGGAAATTCACAAATACCTCCCCCTCCACACTCGCAGTGACCGCTGTTCCACGCCCAGAAGATGGCAAAAAACTTCTAGGATCCCTGGAACACCAAACTGGGTAGAGCAACTCCCCTTCACGCCCTTCACACCAAGGTTTGAGTCCAGTGGCACCTTTAAGACCAACAGGGTTTTATTCTGGGTATAAGCTTCATGAAAGATGCCACCGGACTCAAACTTTGTCCTGTTGCTCCAGACCAACACGTCTCCCCACCCGAACCACCCCCTAAACCAGCGTCGGTCACAGTGGGATTCTCTCCCACACCTTCCCAGGGGCCTCTGTGACAACGAGATGCCAGCAGCTACTACAGGCTCATCCGTGGATTCACTAACGAAATCTGCCGGCTCGCCCATAGCGGCATCGGTTAGCCAAGAGAGCCAACACGGAGATGAAGACTCATGCCACTGTCCAGTGTTCCCTCTAAGCTGAGTTCGTGTGAGCTAGCTCACAGATTTTTAGCCTCCGGCTCACACATTTCTGTCTTAGCTCAGGAAGGAGGGCTCCAGAGCAAACTAATTTATGCAAGAGCCAAATCGCTCGCTCACCTTGAATGCCAGTAGCTCACAAAGGAGAAATTTTGCTCGCAAAACTCCACAGCTTAGAGGGAACATTACCACTGTCCCACTCTGCCGTATTTACTCAAAAGGAAGACAACCCTGAATGTGACACAAACCCTTCCATAAAAGGCATACACACACTAAGGGAGTTATTGCTGGATATAACTGCAACTTGCATGCGAATGTAAGATGACCCCCCCTTTCTGATGGCATAACTGGCAAAAAAAAACAAAAAACCCCACTAGTCTTCTAAGTACAGGGTATCCTATGGGGGAGTTATATTATTTACCTGTCACACCCCCAGGCCTTAGGCTAACACCCTCCCCCTCCTTCAACTGCCCGTCTCGGACTCCTGTCCCAGCACGCGTGGGGGTGAGAAGGGCTGTGATCCTGTGAGCCCAACAGCAAGGGCCGGCGTGAGCTAACAGGAGACAACGAGGCTGAGGAGCTGTAGGGTGCTGCCACCACAGCCCAAATCCCAGGAAAGCATTTGGGACGACAGAAAGAGACTTATTTGGCCTGCCACAAGGCCCCACACAAGTCCCAGGGAGCATGTCTCCCTCCCCATGATCGGGCCCTTTCCTTTGGGGAGGGGGTACACAGACATATGCATGCTTGCAAACTGTGAGGGCCAGGCTACTGCCGGGGGTTGGTTACCGGGACGATCACCCCTGGGCTGAAAGATCTGCTTCCGGGCACAATGCAAAGTGCTCGTGGGGCCAGGGTGCCTGGAGAACCGTCTCCCCCCCTACTGTCCAGCCCGCCATTCAAGATCTGCCTCCCAAGCCCTGCTCGGAGGTGAGGTGGGTGACAAGGAGAGACAGGGCATTCCCCGTGCGGGCACCACCTTGCCTTTGGAATGCCCTTCCCTATGTGGCTCACCTGGCACCTACTTTATGTTTATCTAGGCGCCAGGCTAAAACACCTCAGGGTTTACCCAGGCTTTTAATGAGAGGCTTTGTCTTATCAGGAGCTGCGGAAGCTCAAGTGGTTAAGAGGCTAAACTGCAGGCTGTGGAAGGTTGGTAGTGCAGCAGTTCGAGACCCGAGTGTGCCGCATGACAGAGTGAGCTCCCATCTCTAGTTCCATCTCCTGCCAACCTAGCAGTTCGAAAGCAAGACAATGCAAGTAGACAAATAGGTACCACTTCGGTGGGAAGGGAACAGCGTTCCGTGCGCCTTGGTGTTTAGTCATGCCGGCCACATGACCACGGAAACGTCTTCGGACAGCGCTGGCTCTTCGGCTTGGAAACGGAGATGAGCACCGCAACCCTAGAGTCGGACTCGACCGGCTTTCGAGCCAGGGAACCTTTACCTTTACTTTACCTTTGTCTTATCAGCTTCTGTTTTATGTATAGCTTTTACGCCTCTGATGTCCGACGGCTTGTGTTTTTCATGGTTTGGATTGTAATATCTGGGAGACCGAGGTTCAAATCCTCACTCTGCTGTGGAAGCTCGCTGGGTGACCGTGGGCCAGTCACACTCTCTCAGTCTAACCTACCTCGCAGGTTTGTTGTGAGGATAAAATGGGGGAGAGGAGAACCATGTAGGTCTCGGTCCCTACCGGGGAGAAAGGCGCAAATGAACTGTTAATGGATTTTAATCGTACGGCCACCTTGAGCAGGACTCTGAAGAGGAAGCATAGAAATAACCTAAATAAAGAAGTAATATTCACAAGATGACCTTTTGGAAGGACACGCAGTTGACAGCCCCACCCTGTATAACACTTAGGAGAAAGGCGTCAAGTAGGCATCCCCTCTTCTTTAGGGAAAGGGTGTCCCACTGAACCACAGGGGCTGCAAGGACCCCCCAGCCTTAAGGAACCATCTCAAGATGAGGACCAGCCCTGTGTCACTGCTGAGCCGTAAAAGTGCTGGGGTCCCTGGTTCAGATCCCACCGCCGTCCCACTGGCTTGGGGCAAGGCATCCTCTGCCTGACCGCCACCTGGACAGCTGCCATTCTGGCCTGCCTCACAGGGCTGTTTATCACAGCGGCTGATCTTCCCTTCTTGCTATTCGTCGGCCTGGCATCAGGATCCCGGGGGCAGCGCAGTCCCCAGCAGGGAACGCTGGCGGGAGGCTGCGCCCGTCGAATCTCTGCCTGCCACGCACCTGTTCGGGGCACACGCAAGAGCCAGCGGGGCCCGCCCAGCGCCAGTCTCCCCACCCACCCACCCCATGGGCCCGCAGACC